CCGGAACCATCCCCAAGAGCCGCCACGCGGGTCTGGGATCATAGGTGGGGCCTCCCCGGGTCCTCACCCGTCCTTCCTGGGGAGACGGCCTCCCTCCTTCCTCAGGTCTGGGCTGTGACCCCACCCAACGGCTGGCCTAAGGGGCCCCTCGGGGGGACACTGTCCTGTTTCCCACGAGACGGAAGGGGCTCCTCGGGTCGGGGCAGCCAGGACCGCGGCCAGGGCCGTGAGCGTGCGTGACGAGCTGTACCGGGGAGCGGCGTTCAGCGGCCTCTAACCGGCTTCAGCACCAGAGGGGGCGTCACCGGGCCTCGTGCTGAAACCGTCTGGGCCCTGTGGGCTCAGGTGCGGCTGGCTCCGGGTGCCCTGGCCGTGCTCAGGCCGGCCCCCACCTGGCCCCCACCCCCGGCTCAATGCCCCTGTGCGAGGCCGGTGGCCCCAGAGCCCCCAGCTCAGGTCACCGATTCCTGGGGTCTCCGTGCCCCTTGGAGCCACCGGCTGGGGTCAGCCCCGCATAGCCCCGTGCGGTCCCTAGAGGACGTCTGGGTGGTGTGGGGCGGCACCCCGTCATCCCTATGCACAGCCCGGGGGCCGGGGACGTCGCGGAGAGGGAGGGAGGGTGTCGGCAGTCGAGTCTGGCAGCAGCTGGCAGCACGGCGGGGGCCACCGTCGCGGCGCGGGGTGGACGCTGGGAGGCCCGTGCCCCCGAGCTCACCGCGGCCCACTGCGCAGTGCGCGGCCGGGGGCTGCCTCGTGGAGCTGGCGCAGGAGCTCCTGGTCATCATGGTGGGCAAGCAGGTCGTCAACAACGTGCAGGAGGTCCTCGTCCCGTGAGTCGCCCCCCCCTCGTGTCCCGCCCGGCGTGCAGCCCGCTCCGCCCGCTCAGCTCCCCGCACCTGCTTGGCCCTTGCCCCCAAAGCCTCCGTGAGCAAGGCCGATTTCCGGGGCGCTGCCCCACCTCCCTGCGGCCCCGGGGCCTCCGCCTGCTGCTCTGGAGCCAAGCGACGCCCCCGTCCCCCCTCCGCCCGCCCCGTTCCCCGTTCCCCGTGGCCAAGGCCCCGTCCGTGTCCCAGGCAGCTGCAGGCCTGGTGGCACATGGCCCGGCTGCGCCGCGGGAGGAGGAGGCCTGAGCCTGCTGCGGGCCGGGCCCCCTGGGAGGCCGACTACGAGCTGCTGCCCTGTGGGGACCTGTTCCAGGAGTACCTGGAAACGGGTAGGGGCCCCGGGGTGACCTTGGCCTGGGCCCCCACCGCCTCCCTGGGGCGCCTGGGAAAGGCGGGCCGGGCGGGGGCGGCAGTGGGGACATCCACAGATGCTCGCGGGGGTGGTCTCCCGGGTCGGCTCGCTGCCCGTGCCCCGTGGAGCCCGTGCCCCATCGGGGGGCACCCATGCCACGCGGGACAAGCACCTCGGCCGGTTGGGTCCCTGCGGCTCCACGGGCGGGCTGGGGCCCTTGACGTCGGGCTGTGAGTTCCCACCCCACGTTGGGTGCGGCTACCGCAGGAGGGAATGTGCCAGCCCGGATGGCGGGGAGTCTGGGGGCGCGGGGGGCGGCCTGTGGGTGACCACCCCGCCCCCCCAGTGCTGCAGTTCGGCTTCGTCACCATCTTCGTGGCCGCGTGCCCGCTGGCGCCGCTCTTCGCGCTGCTCAACAACTGGGTGGAGGTCCGCCTGGACGCGCGCAAGCTCGTGTGCCAGCAGCGGCGCCCGGTGGCCCAGCGCGCGCAGGACATCGGCATGTGGGCGCACATCCTGGCGGTCATCGCGCACCTGGCAGTGGTCAGCAACGTGAGTGCGCGGCCAGGGCAGTGCGGGGGGCGGTGGGGCAGGGCCGGGGGTGCCCACGCTGACGCCGCCCGCCGCGCAGGCCTTCCTGCTGGCCTTCACCTCCGACTTCCTGCCACGCACCTACTACCGCTGGACCCACGCCCACGACCTGCGCGGCTTCCTCAACTTCACGCTCGCGCGCGCCCCGCCCACCTTCACCGCGGCGCACAACCGCACGTGCAGGTGGGGCTGGGGGGGTAGCTGGGGAGTTGGGGGGGTGGGGGTACGGGGGTGTCGGAGGGGCGGGGGAGCTCCGGGTCGGGGTGGGGCGTGGAGGCGGGGCTGGCGGGCGGTGCACCTGCTGTTCCTGGCCTGGAGCCCAGCCAACCCCCCCCCCCCGTCCCCGTCTCCCCAGCTCCGTACCCCCCTTCGCCCCCTCCTCTTCCCGAGGTAGAGAACCCGAAAAGCCCCTGGGATGCAGATCTCGCATTTGTCGAGTCTTCCCACCACCTGCCCAGTGGATTTTCGCTGTTGCACGTGACCTTGGGCCTCGGGTTCGAGGCCAGGCTCTCTGTGCTGAGGAGGTGAAGCCTCCTAATCTTTGTCCGACTTTCCCCCCTTCCTTTCCGCGACAGAGGGTAAGCGAGAATCTTCCCAGGACCGGGGTTCCCGGTTTCTTCGGGTACTTATTGCCGCTTGCTTTACGGATCCTGAGGTTCTTTTTTGCAAATAAGGTCACCTCGTGCTCCCCTGCTAGGGGATGCTTACTCTTCCCGCTCATTTGCTTCTCCTTTTATTCCTCGCCTGCTTTCTGGTGGACGCGCGGAAGCGTTCTCTTCCGTCTTTACGCGCCTTTGGAGCGGAGGTTCCCGGACAGCTCCAGCCTTCGCTCCTACGTAAACTTCCCTTGCAAAGACCGTAGGAATCCATCGTCTCCCTTCCCTGCGTGCGAGGACGTCCACACGCTGCTGCCCGCCGAGCACCCATCACTCCATCTTACTATAGTTACACGATGTCTTAGTTTCGCTATTAAAACATGAAAACAATTTTGGTCATTTGTTGGTCACGTCGACGTGGCAGGTTCCGGTGGCCTCTGCGGCACTGCCTCCCATCTGAGCTCATTTCCACTCTGGCTGAAGCGTGTCCCTGAATAGCACCCGCAGGCACGGTGTGCGGGCGGCAACCCCTGAGCTCTGCTGGGTTTTATGTCGGCAAATCTTTGTCCCTCAGAGAGCAGGTGCACAACCCTAGGCTGGGCTGTTTTCCCTCAGCCCTTTGGGGCTGCTACTGTCCCGTGACCTGACTTTTCCTGCAGGAAGCACTGGTAGCACTGAAAAGTTCCTTCCTCCCTTTCCTTGACTTCTGTCACTAACACGGGTGTGTCGTGGTAAAGTCTATTTAAAAGCTTCTCACTAAAAAAAAAAAAAAAAAGGTTTCTCACCCAGTATAGGCTTTTTATCTCAGGGGGTGAGGTCTTTCTCCCATTCTGAAAACCTCTCCATTTTTTTCGGACAGAGCAGAGTTCTCTACCCTTGGTTCTGCTGCGAGCCCTGCGACCTGGGAGCACCTGTTTTCCCTCCGTGGCTCTCGAGGGCCCTGTTAGTACTTGTACATCTCCTGGCTCTGTCGCGCACTCGGCGTGGTTTCTCACGGTCCTCTGAGTTCCCGCAGTCTCTCTTCTGTTGTGTCTGGTTTAGCCACCTCAAGTCTGTGACAGTCCCGGGCGGGTTTTCCCTCAGTTTAATATTCAAGATTTTCTGACAAAGTTGGGCCTGGGCCTGCGCTCCACGGGGCGCACAGCAGGCTAAGTTCATGTCACAAAATAGTGTTGCAACTTCTCCGAAACACGAGAAGCTGTCAGGGGATGGCGAGAGGACAAGTCGGAACTAAGGAGCAAAACTGGGTCCGCCTCTATCCAGCCGGGGGGTTGCCGTGCTGGGCAGGTGGCTCGACCCCTGGGTGTTCCGTGGGCGGCATCACCCGGAGCAGCACCTGCTGCAACGTCACACCTGCCGGCTGACAGGCTGGTTGCGGCCGCGGGCACAGTTGAGGCTTAGGCGGTGGGACAGTCCAGCCCACCGTCCCCCTCGCTGGCCTCACTGCTCCTGGTCTCCTGCAGGTACCAGGCGTTCAGGGAAGATGATGGACAGTATTCCCCGACCTACTGGAATCTTCTGGCCATCCGCCTGGCCTTTGTCATCGTGTTTGAGGTTGGCCAAGCTCCCGGTCCCCCCAGTGGGTTTCGCCGCTGCCTCCCGCCCCGGGATGCCCTCCTCACCCACGCCGCCAGCGGGCCGCATCCCAGCTCTCCTGTGCGCCACCCCCCGCCGGTCCCTGCGGCCTGCCCCGGGCGCTGCAGGGTGTCCCAGGGGCACGACGGGGCCACAGAGCCTGGGGTGGGGGTCTGAGCCGTGGCTTCTGCCCCACCCCCCGTTCCCCTGCTGCTCCCCCACAGCCCAGGCCCTCGGGCCCAGGTCTGACGAGGGGTGGGCGCCCTCCCACGCTCCCCGTGTCCTGCTCCCAGCACGTGGTGTTCTCCATCGGCCGGCTCCTCGACCTCCTGGTCCCCGACATCCCCGAGTCCGTGGAGGTCAAAGTGAAGCGGGAGTACTACCTGGCCAAGCAGGCGCTGGCTGAGAACGGGGTGAGCCCCTGCCCCCGCCCCCACCTTCCCTCGCGTCGGGTCCGGCGCTCTGCCTTGGCACGTGACTCCCCCCGCACCCCTCCCCGGAGACAGGCTCTCTCTGGAGCAGACGGAGCGAAGGACGGCTACTTCCCGGGCTCGGAGGGCAGTCTGGGCCCGCAGCCCCCAGCGCCAGGAGTCGGCCCGGCCCCCCCGGCCCCTTCCCTCTGAGGTCACCGGGTCACCTCAAGTTGGCAGTCCCACCTGGAGCAGGGACTCCAAGGCCCCAAAGACCTCGAAGGCTCACTGCCCCTTCTCAGCCCAGAGCGCTGCGCCCTCGGTGACCCTGGGCCTCTGCTCACACACCTGCCTCCCCAGGCCAGCCGGCTGCGCCAACGCCGGAGCTGCCCCTGCCGCCTCCCTCCCGGCCCCCTTGCCTCTTGCTCCCAGGGCGCTGATCCGTCTCCCACATGCAACTGGAGAATCACACCAGAGACGGGAACTATCTGTGGATCCCCAGTTACCCCCCCAGAGCATGTTGAGGACACCCTGGTTCCACAGGACCAAGACAAGACGTGTCGCGTGATAAAATGAGTTCTAGCACACTATATCCGATTCCGGGTTTTATTTTAGAATTTATAAAATTCCAGTGTCATCCATATTCATAAGCCTTTACACACGTTTGCATATAATCTCCAGATTCCAAAGTTAAGGCCAAGGGACGGATCATAGCTATGGACACCGTGGTACGGAAGACATTCGACAAAGGAAACGGACACGCGCACCCCACCCTGCCCGGGGCCCACCAGCAGCAGGAGCGGCTGCGCGAGGCCAGGCCGGCGCAGGGCCACCAAGCGGTCTTTAGTAACAACCCGCGAAAACAGAGCACACAAGATCCCAAATACAGTTCGCGGAAGGGGCGTGGCTCGCATCTACGGACATTTAGCGATAAATGCACATGTGCAAAAACCTGTTGTGAAAATGTAAAATTTACCTTTGGGGAAGGGTGGGGGTGGGGGCCGCGGAAGGCCGCCGTAGAAAAGACCGAGGGAGGAGGGGTCTGGGCAGACGCCGGGGGAGCCGGGGGGCAGGCGGAGTGAAGCAGGACGGCCCCCCGGGGAGGCTGCGAACCCCGCGCAGGCGGAGGCGGTGCCCTGTCCCCAAGCAGGCTCCCGCGAGCCGGAGGCGTGCTCCGGGGAAGAGCCCGGCAGCGCCCGCCCTGTCCCCCCCCCGCCCCCCCTGCCAATCCAGAGACACGCTCTGCAGGCCGGCGGGCCCCGTGGACACACTCGAGGGACACCTGTCAAGCAGCTGTCCGTCTGCTCCACGTCAGGGTCGGGGCGTGGCTGCGGCGCAGCCTGTGTGCCGGGAACGCCAGCACCGCGGGGGGGGGGGGGACAATGTGACAAGGCCCGGGCAGACGGCCTGTCGTCCTTCCCACACGACAGGGCACACGAGCGCCTCGGCGCTGCCCGGGCCTCTCCTCTCTGAGTGGACACAGTGGCCTCGGGGCACAGGTGTGACCCCACCATCGCCCGCCGCGCAGCCCCGAAGGGCAGAGCCTCCCAGGTCCGCACCCGCTCCTCCAGCCCCGCCGACGGGGCACCTCTCTGCCCCGGGGCCACGCAGCCTGCCTCTCCGAGCCACGTCCCGGGAGCCGCTCACGGCACGGGGCGCGAGTCCGAGGGCAGCCCGGGGGCCCCAGCGCGCAGCCGACCTGCCGCCAGCAAGAACCGCTAAGCCGAGAGGCGGAGTGCTGGGGACCGCGCCGCGCGGGCTGAGGTAGGAGGGAGGGGACTGCCCCCTGGCATGTGTGCGGGTGGGCCCGAGGGAGCAGCCGGGGCTGCGCCTCTGCCCTGGGGGCCACCCCGCCGTGTCCCCGTGTCCCTCGGGCCAACGGGGCCACCGTGGCAGCCACGGCAGACCCGCCTCCAGGCGTCGCTCACCAGGCTTGGGGTCTCCGGTGCCGTGTGGTGCAGGGGCGGAGACACTTGGTGCTTTCAGGCCCCAACGCGTGTAAAGCCACGACCGCCCGAGAACCTGGGTCACCCTCTGCGGCTCTCCTTTGGGTGTGGGCGCTCCCAGCGTGCACACTGGTCTTCCTCCCCACCCTGCGTCTGCGCTAAGAGGGCTTTTTGGCAGCTGGAAGGTGGACTGCCTTCAACAAGGAGGGTCTGGACGGCAGGCAGAGGGAGGAAAGGCAGCGGGAAAGGAAGAGGGCAAACATTTTGGCTTTTATAAAGTCAAGGAAATTTATTTCCTGAGGTCATGACACAGGAAGTAGACTCAGCCACAGCTGTGCAGCTCTCATCGTGGAGGCCCGAGCCTTACTGACATGCTGGATGAGCCAGGACGCTTATCGGGAAATGTCCAATTACCTCTGCTAGTGTTCGCAACAGTGGAGAGCCGCCCCAGAGCAAAGGCGCCAGGGAGCAGATCCTGAGCGCACGCGCGGTGCTGGCGCGCCCGGCTTCACTGCGAGACCTCGGGGAGGGGGAAGCGTCAATGTATGGAGGGTCCAGCCGCTGGGTCGGATCGAAACAAACCATGTGTGGTGGGGTTTGGGTCAGCAGGCTGGAGAGAATTCTGCTTTTTGATCATTATCGTTTGGGGCCCCATGGGAGGGTCTTGGGGGCCACCTGAGCCCCAAAGCTAGGAAACTCTTCAGAGCTGCTCATATCCGGAGCCTGCAGGGGAAGGAGGGCACAGCGTTAGTAAGGACTCCTGCCCGAGCAGCGCAGCTTCCCCAGCGGAGGGCCAAGTGCCGCCCACAGGCGCTCCCACCGCGCAGGGCACGGCCGACCTTCTCGCTGCTGTTAGCGGTCCAGGGAGCGTCCCGCACCACAAAGCCCTTGGATGGTGCCTTGGACTCCTCGTGGGCCGGTGGCTTCATGTACACCTGCAGTGACTCGCTGTCCACCACGTCGGCCAGCTGTGGGCACAGGTGGGGAGGGGACGTCAGTCTGCACGGGCGCGCGTGGCCATGCTCGTTTAGGCTCACGTACTCGGGGATCCCCCGAGCAAGCCCTGAGCACGAGGGCTTGCCCGGGGGATTCCCCACGCCTGGCCTGCCTCTGGGAGCAGATGCACACGGCCTCTGCCAGCCGGCCCAGGCCAGCGAGAGGCAGGGCGTCCCGTGAACAGGCCTGTGGCCCAGCGACAACTCACATATTCCTCCTCTAGGTTGAGGATGTGATCGATGGCTTCTTCCACGTTCTCTGGGAGCCCCGTCACGGTGACACAGTTGGGGTCTGGGGCTCCAGTCTGCGGGAAGCGAATGTCCACCTGGAAGGAGCACACACAGCCGCTGAGGTGGCTCTGAGCACTCCGTCTGGGGTCTCTGGACCAAAGGCTCAGGGTTATGTGTGGCTGGAAATGGATCTTTAGTAAGTTTTCCCAAGTTAGCCTTGTCTTCTCAGGTCATGAGTCAGAGCTGCGCACACCAGGCCAGCTACAGCCCCCGCCGATCCACGCGGGGGCGTGTGCCCCACAGGCCTGTGCAGGACGCCGCCTCGCCTACCTAGGGCCGGGCACCTGCAGCCCGGCAGTCCCCGGTGACCCCGCAACCGTCATGTGGAAGGAAGAACCTGGCAGAGCGGGGAGCGGGAAGCACGCACCCGTCCACCCACCAGGCTTCCAGGACTCAAGGACGCCCTTCACGTTTGGCCGGGACCCACCTTGAACTCATCCATGATCTTGCGGATGGCTTTGCCGCGGGCGCCAATGATGCGGGCGTGAACGCGGTGGTCCAGCGGGACGTCCTCAGAAACCATCTGTTCAAGTTCACCCACAATTTTCAAAATGGCGTCCCGGGCAGCTTCCGTGTTCTTTTCATACCCTGTGATCGTAATTTGGTCCTGGGGCTGAGAAAGGAAAAACCCGTCAGGAGAGGGGACGCTCCTAAGGATCCCAGGCTGGGAGCCCCACCACCGCAGACGCAGCTCTGCGAGGTGACAAGAGGCGCCACGGGCCGCGCAAGGCAGGCGCAAAGAATGCCGGGCCCACGGAGCCCGCCGGTTCCCGCCCCGCCCCCACCCCTACTAAGGACACGCACGGGAAACGAAAGCTGCGGGTGGGGGCAGAGCGCGGGGCCGACACGAGGCACAGGAGGGGACCCCGGGTCCTGCACCTGGAGGCGCCTCCCTGGACACAAGGTCCCAGGCCCCGTGGCCGGCGCCCCACAGCCCCAGCGCGCCCAGCCCACGGCCTCCCTCCCATCCCTCCCACAGACGCGTGCACAGTGTGAGCACAGATGCGACTCGAGGCATAAAGAAAACGTGAGAACAGAATCACACCCGTCAGCCACATTCTTAAAGGCAGGAGACCAGTGCACCTGCAGGACAGTGGGGCCAAAGGACCAGAGAACAAAACAGAAGAGCAGAAGCCTCGAGACCTGCCCAGAACAGGCAGCGAAGACTCCAGGAGACGGAGCATCAGCCGGTCTCCCCACGGGCACCTCCCCAGACACCAACCACGACCCTTCGCCAACGAGGAGTCATCTTCATAGAGAAGAGGGTATGAAGAAAACGAGGCCGCCTGACGCTCTCTGGCTCGCAGAACATCAACCGCAGGGGCCTGAGCACCAAATAACTAAAAATGTGCTACTTAAGTAGAAAAGTTGAAAGAAAGAGACACACACAGCAAAGGTGAGAGGCTGGAAGAGCTAAATCCTCAGAATTAAAAACATTAAAAATTAAAGTCAGAGGGCGCCTGGCTGGCTCAGGCGGCAGAGCAGGCCACTCAACCTCAGGGTCATGGTTCGAGCCCCGCGTCGGGCGTACAGCCCGCTCAAGCACAGAGTAAGGAACAAAAACCAGCAGCAGGGGAAACACGTTGGTGAGATGCAGAGGCAGACAGAAGGACGCCCGCGGGGACGGTCAGGGCCGGGCCGGAGGCAGAGGGCAGAGTGGGGAGGCGGGGGCTGTGGTGCTCCTCGAGGGACTCCGCCTGTGGGGACAACTGTGGGGGAAGGCCCCAGCTGGAGCCCCACCTGCCACCAGGAATGACCAGGGGGCGTGGGACAGGGACACCTCGCCCAGCTGACACGGCCCAAAACGCGGCCCAAGGCCTGAGCCAAAACCAGCTCCTCAGAGACCTGCTACTCCCCACCCACCTGGGCACACCCCCCTCCGCTTGCCCGCTCCCTGCTCCGGGTCAGGAGGAGGCTCCAAGAGTCCTTCTGCCCCAGGCAGTCATCCTCACCTGGCTCCCATCGTCCTTATCGGGAAACTGGATGTTCACGTCATGCTCCAAGCGGATCTGCGTAATCACCGCCCCTTTTCTCCCAATAATTTTGGGATGGTATTTGGGGTCCACCGTGACGCTCAGTTTAAAGCTCCTTAAAGCCTACAGACGAGACAAGAGCAGAGTTGTCCAACTACCCCCGAAGGATGACCTTCACCGGCACGCGCAGCCACAGGCCACCGCCCCCTCCGCTTGGTCCTGGACCACCCAGGTATCCTCAGGGACAGGACAAAAGACACAGCTTTCCTGTTGGCCACTGTGCCACCCTGCACCCCCAGTTCAAGGACCCACTGTGACCCTTCGGAAAAGGACCCCTGGGCACGGACAAGGCCGGCACACGGCGAGCTCTAAGCTCAACTTTCGGACTGGTTTAGCAGGGATCTGATGAGCATTCGGGAGAGTGTTCCGGGGCGTCTTTCAAGGCTAGGGTACAAGAGCAGGCCAGAGGCTGAGACCGTCGGAAACACACGCAGCTGTGCGGGCCCCATCCCTTCACGACTCCATGGAGTCCGCCCTGCAGGAGCCCGTCACCCCCATCGCCTGTGACAGGGCTTTAGGCGGTCACGACACCCAGCCTCACCGTGCACCACGCAGGAAACCCTTCAAACACCAGCCCTACAGGGGGGAGGTGGGTCTCAAACCCGCCTCAGGGCAGGGAAACCGTGCAGCGGGAAGGTCCCGCTGACGCCTGCCCTGGACCACACCACTCACGTCTGGGGGTCTTTCACAGCAACGGCTCCCGGGCCTCTCTAACCTTACCTTTCCTGTGCAGTTGGAGGCACCACAACATGGCACGTTTACTTTGGAAAAAAAAGTGCTAATTAACAGGAAATCTAACTCTGCCGCGGAAGAGGAAAGTGCCACGCCCGTAACACTGCGTCTGAAGAAAGGCTCCCCCGACAGCAAGGCCTCTGGACGCAAACCGTGGCAGGCTGGCCAGGTGCGCCTCCTGCCACCCGGCTGCGGCGTGACCAGGGTGCTGGTGGGGCTCGGGCTGAGGGCCACGGCTCTGGAGGACGCCCCCGCGGCCGACAGACACCCACCCGGTCTTCCTGCTCGGCCTGCAGCTCCTTCACGCGCTCCAGCAACCCAGCCTTGGCCCGGTCCAAATTGGCGGCGAGGCCGGTGATGGCGATGATGTCGGACTGCAGTTCCGGCGCCGGCACGTGGATGTTCACCTACACGGAGACAGGGGCAGACCTGATGCAGACAGGGTCCCGCGAGAAGAAAGGGGGCACCGTGCTGCCGCGCTAAGAGCAGGAACAGGGCACACGGCCAAGGGCGCCAGCTGCCAGCGGGGCTCCGGAGGGCTCCCTCCCAGCGTGGCGCCAAGGAAGAGCCGCAAACTGCCGTACCTCGAACTCGTCCATCATCTTTCGGATCCCGCTCCCCTTCTGCCCAATGATGTACCGGTGAAGGTCAAAGGGCACCTCCACTTCGATGGTGACAGGAACCAGCGCCTGCAGGGAAGACGGTCAGGGGCAGGCCTGAAAGCAAGCTCGGAGCACAGTGACCCCGTGAGAATTACAGGGAGCTTCCTGGAACCTTCCCTGCTGCTCACCTAGGCTCAGGACGCCCCCCAGGTTTTAACTCAAGGAAAACAGAAGAAAAGAGGATGGAATGCGGGGCTGCCTGGGTGGCTCACTTGGTTAACATCGGACTCGATTTCGGCTCAGGTATCGATCTCGGTCCTGGGATCGAGTCCCGCAGCAGGCTCCACACTTGTGGGGTCGGCTTGGGGTTCTCTCTCCCCCTCTGCCTCCCCCACCCCCGATCCTACACAAGCTCTCTCTCAAACAAATGAAAAAACCCCATGGAATCCATTATTTAAGATTAATGCCAACAGAGCAAACTTTCAGACCATCGCCCCAAGCCTCTGCTCTTAAACGTGGCAGGCCACAGCCAGAAACAGAACAAACCAAATCCAGGAAGCACAGAGCACCCTGAGGCCCAGGGTGGGAACAGGGGTCTCACACATTGAAGGTGGCCCTGACTCCCGGCCTCACCGACGGCAAGGACAGCCTGTGGCCAAGCCAGGTGGCCTGCAGGGACGACAGCAGGGGACACCGGCTCCCCTGTTCTGCCTCTGCTCCGGCCCCACTGCTTCCCGCCCCCCACCCCCTTCACTTCCACAGTCCCGTTTAACCATCACTTGACACCCGACAGATTATTTTGCTCCTCCGTCCACCCTACATAAGCACGATCTTCCACACTGAGGTCCTGTAACACTTAAAACAGTGCAACAGGTAAGTGGCACTCAGGTAAGCACTCGCTCATCCTCACAAGCCTGAGCCAGATTGGGGTCACAACGCTATGGGAAAGGGAACCGAGGCTGGAGACCACACTCCCCCCCCCGCTGTCACGGAAACCTGTCAGTTCCGTGCCGGTCCACACCCACCCACCCACCGGGGTGGGTGGCGGGCGCTATGCCCCCCAGAGTGCGAGCCCAGGTGCTCAGGGCAGCATCAGCACACGAGGTCCAGGCCCATGCCTCCACGAGGGCAGCGGGCCGCACCCACCTCAAGGGCTTCCTTGGCGGCCTCACACTTTTCTTTCCGGCCAGAGATGATGATGATGTCGCACCTCCTAGGGGAGCCAGGGTCGGCCTCTTTGGCATCCCTCCCGTCTCCGGCATCGTCACCGTTCTCCTGGACTGGCGGCTCGACGCTGTGAACTGGGGAGACGGGGGGAGGGGGCCAGCTCAAGGTGCTGACTCAGCACGCTCAATGCCAACACCTGTGGAGCACCCGCCACGTGCTGGCAGGTGGGGGAGGGAAGACCCGAATGCCCTGGCTTCCTGGGAGGCTGGCACAGGGGAAGTGTGTGTGCTGCATGGTGGCTAGTGAGTCTGCAGGGCACAGAGACTACAGACCAAGCCCCAGGGTTGGGACACGGCTGCACAGAGGGGCCTGTGACACAAGCTGGGAGGGAAGAGGGGAGCCTCCGGTGCCAGGAAGCGAGAGAGCAAGGCTCGAGAGAAGGGACATGAAATGGGCCGCCGCGGCCAGCTGGTGGGAACCAGTGTGCACCTGAACACAAAAGCAAGGTTTAGGAACAAGAGCGAGCAAGCAAAAGAGAGGATGGCCTAAGCCATCGGTCCTGCATGCGGCTGGGGGAAGGTTGGGCTCTGCAGACACATTCCAGACAGAATTTCAACACCAACAGAATTCGCAAACAGTATCACATGCGGTCAGATCGGATTCTGAGGCACGTGCCAGTTCTCCCAAACAAGGGTTAAAAGTACACGCAAATGGGGCAGCCCGGGTGGCCCAGCGCTTTGGCGCCACCTTCGGCCCAGGGCGTGATCCTGGAGACCCGGGATCGAGTCCCATGTCGGGCTCCCGGTGCATGGAGCCTGCTTCTCTCTCTGCCTGTGTCTCTCTCTGCCTCTCTCTGTGTCTCCCGTGAATAAATATATAAAAAAACTTAAAAAAAAGTACAGGCAAATGACTCAGAAGGAGTGACCGTGTGAAGGGTGCACGGAGAGAGAACACAGTCTGGATATTGAGATCTCTACCCTATGCGATATCCTTCATAAGTACCCAAGAGCATCTGTACTCAGGGGAACAGAGGAGCTTCTATGGCCACGACAAGCTCCGGAGAGGACGGAGCACGTGGAGTGGACCCAGGAGGCCACATGGTCATCAGCTGGACCACACACGTCAACAGTGACCGGCCAACAAAGACACACTTGGTTGCCACCGAGTGGGAGACGGCTCTCAGAACGTCGCCTCGGGACTGCCTACCACCCCGCCCCGTCTCTGGGGCACACAGAACCAAGCCGACACTGGGGCCGATGGGGCTGCCTGCCTCACAAGGCACGAGGCCTGCCAAGGAGAGGTGCAGGGGGACAGACAGCTGCAGCGGAAGCAGCACGTCACACACGTTACTCGGGACCTGTGGGAAAACTCAGAACCAAACTCAAGGCGGTGGCTGAGTGGGGGGTCGGGGGTGGGGGCGGGTTCCACTGTCTCTGGAGCCGCAGGTGCTTTGCCCTCCTTTTGCCTGGTCACTAGCTGCGAGCCTGTGGACGCTGGAAGGGCACCCATCGCCCTGCAGGAGCTGATAGAGCCCACCCCTTAGAGAACCTCTGGAACAAGTCCCGCGCGGCCCACCGCACTGCAGCACAGGGCAGGACGCAGCCCCAGGCGGGGGGCCCAGGCACACACCTGCTTCCCCACTCAGCACAGAGCTCACCGCTGGGACCCACCTGGGTTCTCCTCTCTGTCTGGGAACTTAATCTGAACATTATAGTCCCGAGTAATCTGCTGGATTCTGGAACCTTTGGGCCCCATGACAGAGCGATGAAACTTCTGGGGTATGGCACATTCTATGGTCACCTGGGCTTCCTGGGGGTGGGGTGGGGTGGGCACAGCAAGAAAGGAAAAAATAAAGGCAAAGGTTAATGGATGAGGGCCAGTCACATCTGCACCCACTCAGTCCTCTACAGACACCTCCAGTGCTCCAGAACGACAGGGCGGACCGAGGAGGGGCGCGGGGCAGGACCCAACGGGAGGCCTCCTGGTGCCATGTCGCTCAGAGACTAAGGAAGTACTGACGACTGTCGGCAAATGGCAGCAAGGCTCGCCGCCACCCAGAGCGCGAGTACAGCCCTTTCCTGTCTCTGGACACAGAGCCCCCCCCCGGCACACATCACCGTTGGGTGCTGCCCCTCAAGGGTGGCTACGTGGGCCGGTGACCTGACTGCTGCGGCTGTGACTCCACGAGGAGGCGCTGGGCTTGACGGTCGGGAAAGTACGTCTAAGGCCACAGCAAGGGGGCGCCAGGAGAGGGAAGGTCCCTCAGGGCTGGTGTAGAAAACCCCAAACAGGTGGGTTCACTGACAGGCCCGCCCCCTCCATCTCCCTTCTTCCCTTGCGGGGAGAGACTGCTTCCTCGTGCAGATTGGATTCCAACACGTGTTTTAAAAAGCTGCTGTTCAGGGGCAGTATTCTCATCACTGTAGACGGAGACCAGAGGCTGAGAACCGAAGAGCCCCAGCCACTCCCTCTGTTTGCCCCTGGGTGTTGAGGCCAAGAGCCCCGCCACCCTCCCAGACACCTACCAGGTCCTCAATGATCTCCTGGATGCGCTTCTTGGCCGCCTCCACACAGTCCTTGGCACCCTTGAGGGTGACTTTATCGCTCTGTGTGCCAGAGCGCGGGAAGCTCACCATCACCCCACCATACTCTTCGGCGATCTCCCGCAAGACCTGGCCTCTCCGGATGACAAAATGGCGGTGGTGCTTGGGGTCCACTAGCATGCAGTCTTCCACCACGTTGTCCTACGGCAGAGGGCAGGGAGAGTAAGGGACCCGCCGACCCTGCCTGAGAACCGCCACGGCGCGGCTCCACGGGCCTTACCAGGTTCTGAATGAGGGCCTCCAGCTCCTTCTGGGCCTCCCTGACAGCGTCCTCCTTCCCTATGATGGTGATGAGGTCCTGGTCCTTGTCCTCGGCCGTCGGGAATATGATGCGGGCTCCAGTGTTGTCACGTACCTTGCGGATCTTGCCGCCCCCTTTGCCAATGAGGAACTTGTGGTATTCTGGCTTCGCGCGGATGTCAACGGTGAAGCTCTTGGTTTGCTGTGGAGACCAACCCCGGGTACACTGGCCTGATGCTACCCGCCTGGTACACTGAGCAGGTGAATACGGAGGCCCAGACAACAACGGCCTCACCGAAACCCAGACGGGAAGTAAAGCCCCCTCTGCCGTCCAGAGACACCGAGATGGCTCAGAGCTTGTGCACGCAGAGCCCAGGCCGGCCACTCCCGCCCACAGGGAGGACCGGCAAGTGCAGCCTCGGGGTGCTGGGGAGAGGGGTGCATGTGCACAGCGGCTAAGCCCATAGCACTCCGGCTCCTCCCCGAGTCCAGCTCTTCCCCTGCTCGTGCTGCAGCGCAGCCCAAGGCCGGCCATGTGGAGACGCAAGGCAGCCAAGGCCCTCATCTGACACCAAAAGACCAGGGCCCAGCAAAGGCCCCGACATGACACCCTTTGAGGATGCCAGCTCCTCCGGCAGATTCAGCAGGAAGAGCACACGCGCCTCCAGGCCGACTCAGACCCACACGACGCCCTTTCCTCTCCTTCCTTGTGTCCTGCAACCTGGCCCACGAGCATGAGGAAACACAAAGGAAAAGAAAAGAGGGTCTGCAGCATGCTCAACAGTAATGAACGAATGAATTTTGTTATCTTTCAAATGCTGCTTTTCCAAACACCCTCGAGAAAATCGACTCATCTTCAGACACAGACACTGGCAAACAGCAGCGTATTAAAAAGTTAATGAACGGGGCAGCCCGGGTGGCTCAGCGGTTTAGCGCCGCCTTCAGCCCAAGGGGCCTGATCCTGGAGGTCCCTGCATGGAGCCTGCTTCTCCCTCTGCCTGTGTCTCTGCCTCTATCCCTCTGTGTGTCTCTCATGAATAAATAAAAATCTAAAGAAAATTTAAAAAATAAATAAAAAGTTAACGAGCTAGGTCAGCCCAGCCCAGCAACATGACGAAGGACAGCACACCTAAACCAAGTGGGGTCATCCCAGAAACGCAAGTTCGCTTAAATGTTAAACAAACAAAAACACTTTAAAAAAAACTAATACATATGCTTAAAAAAACGGAAACCAGGCTATCGTGTGGACAGGTACAGAGAAGCTCCTACAAAGTCCCACCCCCGTTCCCACAGGAGCTCTCAGCAAACTTGTGGCAGAAGAGGAAACTTCCTCAACCTGACGGAGACCCACAGCTCACTTCCCACTCAAGTGAGTGGACTGAGCACTTTCTCCCAAGTTCACCAACGAGGCACGGCTGTCCCCTCTCCCTGCTGCTACTCCACCGTGCCAGAGGCCCAGGCAACACAGTAAGGCCACAGCTGCAGGCATACGGGTCAGCAAGAGAGACATCAGCTGTCTAATCAGAGAAGATATATTTTACTCACAGAAAACTCAAAGAATCTACCGAAAAAAGTTACTGGAACTGAAAAGTGACTGGGTTACTGAACTTTAACCCAGATGCATAAGACAAGGTCAATATAAAAAAGTCGAACATGTTTCTACATGCTATAGAAACCGGAAATTAAAGTGAATGACAAAGTACCATTCAGGACAGCGATGGAATGCAAAACTGAGGATTTAAATCAAAATATGAACGAGACCCTCATGCTAGAAAACTACAAAACCCCTATGAAAAATCAAAGATTTAAACTTGAAGAACGCAGACTGGAAAACCTTGAATTCCTGAGCTGTCGACTCTCCCCAGTCTGATCTTTAGATTCAACACAGTCCCAGCTGAAATCAAGCAGGATCTCCCCCCCCCACTGCCCCCGAAACCGTGAAGCTGGCTCCCAATCCGCACAGAAAGGCAAAGATGTACAAGAGCCAGAGCACCAGTCCTCTGAAGGGCTCTGCTGGCCATCCCCTCCCTGTGCCATTTCGGGGACACAGCAGAGTCCAGAATCAGACCCACACATGGGTCCTGACAAGGAGGCAAAGGTGATTCCATGCAGAATTTTAGGGGGCGATGGCCAAAACACTGCCACTGCAGGGGTGGTCACCTGAGTTTGTATATGCTTACCAACGTATATGCCAGGTGTATATGCCAAGGAAAGGGAAGTTTTAGCGTCTATAAACCATACTTTAAAAAAAAACAAGGGTGCCTAGGTGGCTCAGTTGTTTAAGCATCTGTCTTCAGCTCAGGCCATTATCTCTGGGGCCTGGGATCGAGTCCCACATTGGACTCCCCGCTCTGGGGGGGGAGTCTGAGCCTGCCCCTCCCTCTCCCCCTGCTCGTGAGCTCTCACTCGCTCTCATATAAATAAAACGTTAACGAAACAGAACCCGGTAAGCCAAACAAGTTTTCCCTATCACATTAGGTAGGCATTCAACCTGCCAAGGCCCTCTGTTCTGCAGCAGCAAATTCAAAGACACAAAAAGGTATCTGAAGCAATTTCCTGACCTGCCACCAGGACAAGGCAAGGATTTCTAACAAGGGACAGACACAGCGTCACCGCCCCCAGGCGTGAGGCTCACCTTTTCCTCGGCCAGGTGCAGGAGCTGCTTCTTGGCCTTCTCCACGTCCGAGGCGGGGCCCCTGATGACAACCGTGTCACTTCCCGAGCCCTCCACAGGGAAGTGAATGTGCACCCCGCCGCACTCCTCCATGATGGAGCGGATCAAGCGGCCCTTCGTGCCGATGAGGGAGTTATGCAGCTTGGCAGGAATCGAGACCTCCAGCTCAGCTATGTTGGCCTGAAAGGACACACAGTCCATGAGGCGTGGGACACGGGACGGCACGCCCATGCAGAGGGGCCTGGAGCCCTTGTGGGCACGTGTGTGGGTGGACGTGGGCTGGGGGTACAAGCAGTTCACACCGCATACAAGGAAAGTCTCCAGGTCCCACCAGGGAGCAGCTTCACTTCTTTAGTCCTCTCAGTGCCCAAGGAGACACCACCCAGATGCCCACGGATCGTGAGCCTCTCCTATTAAAACCCTGCCTCCATTAAGGTGAAACAACAGGGAGCAGATTTACCCTCCACGAGAACCAGGGGTGTTGACACCGGGGACAGGAAGCAAGCAAGGGGACCTGATGGCCTGGCGAGACCAGGCTGGCAGAAGCCCCAGGAGTGGAAGACTGCTCCCAGGCTGACCTGTGCGTGGGAAGAGCCTGGCATCACGGGAGAAGGGACCGCAGGGCACAGCACCGTCGACACTGAGCCACTGGGAGCAGGAGGGCCTCACCTTGGGGGTGGGCAGGGATGCCCAAAACCAGGCACTGCTGTGACCCCCACACCTCACGTGTCTTAAGAGCGAGCCCGAAAAGGAGCAAAGTATTTCATTTTTTTTTTTTTTTTTTTAAGATTTTATTTATTTATTCATGATAGTCACAGAGAGGGAGAGAGGCAGAGACACAGGCAGAGGGAGAAGCAGGCTCCATGCAGGGAGCCCGACGCGGGATTTGATCCTGGGTCTCCAGGATCGTGCCCCAGGCCAAAGGCAGGCACTAAACCGCTGCGCCACCCAGGGATCCCGGAGCAAAGTATTTCAAAGGCACAGTCTCACTGGAAGACAGTCTAGCACTTCATTACAAAGCTAAACACACTGTGACTGCATGACCCCACTTACTACTTTATACTGGGTGCAAGCAGCCAGTGTGAAGCAGCGACACGCTGTGGGGCCTGGAGGCTGGGGATGCAGACAGAGAGACTTGGGTGATGAAGGGGACGTGCGGGGGTGAGGGCACAGGGCTTGCAGCCTCTCAGGCTGCCCTGCAACCAGCACAGTCACTTGGGAGACAGGGTCTAGGGGGAGGACAGACACTACAAACCCTAATACGATCACTATAATAAAAGTCACATCCAATAAGCCAAAAAAGGAGATAAAAGGAGTAAGATTATAGTATTAAATCCTAAAGCAGGCAGAAAAAGAGAGCAAAGTAGATGGAACAAATAGAAAGCAAATGCAAGATGGCGCACCAAAACCCAGCTCCATAAAACTACCACGTCAAGGTGACCAGTGGGTCGGGGAGGGGTTTACATGTACATTTTCTGTTTGAGGAGACGCGAACGTGCTGGAGATGATGGTGACGGTCACACAACAATGAATGCATTTGATGCCCCTCGGTGTACACTAAGGTGGTAAATTTTGTTACGTTTTCCACAGTTATAAAAGCTAAAAAACTGACATTTAACCACACTTGCTACATTATGTAGTGAAACATGTATCACATAATACATGATACGAAGAATTACTAATGTAATTAAGTGCAAACGCCTCTATTTAAAAGGCAGACTGGGGCGCCTGGGTAGCTCAGTAGGTTAAGGTCTCAGTGTTGATTTTGGCTCAGGTCATGATCTTAGGGTCATGAGATCAAGCCCTGCGTGGGGCATTGTGTTCAGCAGAGTCGGCTTGTCCCTTTCCCACTGCTCCTCCTCCCACTCACTAATAAATAAGGTCTTTAAAAAGCAGAAATTATCAGATTGAATTAAAAAAGCAAGATGCCTAAAAGAAACCTACTTTAATGACAAAAAGTGTATCTCAGAGCAAAGACCACTACCAGGAGTAGAAAAAGGTAATTTTATAATGACGTAAGTCATCTATATCAGGAACATGAAAGACCTCACCATAGTGAAAGCACAATCTGGGGAGTATTATGAATAATTCTATGCTAAAATCCTTGACATCGTAAATAAAAATCTCTTGAAAGAAAACCTGTAAGTCTTAGGCGAAAAGCAACGTGGTATGTCCACACAGGGACAGGGACCTATCACCCAGCGATGAAACAAAACAGTACAGACACACGAGACAACACAGACACATCCCAACACTTCTCCAGGTGAAAGCACCTAGAGCTCTGAGAGCAAACACCACAATTTCTTCTGTACAACGATGCAGGAAGCTGGACCTAATCCCCCGTGGCAGAAAGCAGATGAAGGACTGGACAGGCAGAGGGGGGCTGGGGGCGGGTAGGACAGAGGGGGGTACCGAAGGGGCAGGAGGCCGTCTCCGGGTGGGGGATGTGCTCACTAGCTGGACTACGGAGAGCCCATGGAGGTACAACATATGTCAAAACTCGTCCAGCTGTACACGTTAGTAAACGTGCAGTTCCTTGCACATTAATTTTTCAAAAATTGAAAAGAAATTTACTGTTCTACCTTGCGGACCAGATGACTTCCAAGCACCCACGTGCAGTGCTACTGCTCAGGCCTGGTAGTGAGCACCACCACGGGCCTGGCACTGCCGTGGGGAGAGCTGGCCTCCCCCACCCCGCCTGCCCGAACCCCATGCTATCACCTCGGGGGCCAGGGAGCCCGGTGCGTGCCCGGTCACCCAACACCCCATTACCAGGTCTTTTTGGATGGACAGGATGCGGCTCCGGGCGGCCTCACAGTTGGCCCGCTTGCCTGTGATGATAATGGTCTCTGAATTGCTGTTCTCAGCTGGAAGGTCAATCTTAGTGTTGCTTTCTTCCCGAATCTACAAGGAGACGGAGAATCATGAGAAGCGGCTTCCCAGCTGAGACACTTGGGAGCCCAGGGCTGTAAAGTAAGGCTCCCCTCCTGCGATGCTGAGCCAGAATGGCACAGGGCGAGGGGAGCCAGGATTCAGGGGTCACCTTCTTAATGTTTGCGCCTCCTTTCCCAATGATGTTCTTGTGAAATTGTTTGAAGATCGGAACAGAAATTGAATAGCTATTTTCCACCTTAAAAACAAAAGAGGTGACACAATTAGCCATCATGCTGGTTAGCGAAGTGCCCCTTCATCCGGGAGGGAGTATGACAGGACTCGCTATTAGAACACACACGCTTGTCTCCCACTAGGACCTCTGACCTTCCCACGGGAGGACAGCTTACCCGACAACTAGCTAACCTGGCGGGCCGCTGTCGACTGACGCCAAGCCACCTTTATAAAAAGTGGCTCCCAATGGAACCTGCCACCGGCTCGACGCAAGCTCCGTAACCCAGAAGCAGTGGGTTAGAACGTGCCAGTGCCCACCTGACATCTGGGTAGGAGGGAGTCCTGGCCACCATGCTGAGACGAGTGAGCCCACTACACGCATCGAGGTGGCACACAGACCCCGCCGCTCTGGGGCAGTTGTGAGCTCGGCCAGAGCCCCACGAGAAACCACAGAAGCATGAGCCCATCTGCAGCCTTCCCATCCATAACCACCCCCAGCACTTTCCAAACTGCTTGTTCCCATCCCAGCTTCTTAAGAAGGTAACAAATCAACGAATGGCTCTCCACACTGCCTACGCAAATCCCCTCCTGACCGGATGGGACAATTTATCCAGATGGCTGAGGAGCCCTCGAGGAAACAAGGAACCTGGCACCCTGCTTTAATTCCACAGCACACTCAAGTTCTAACAGTTTCTGCCAGTCTAAACACCCGGGGTAAAGAGGGATGGCACCACTACGTCGACGGCAGACCACTGCAGTGCCCCAGTGTGCTCCCTGCAGCAGGGGTTCTGATGGGACACGAGCCCCATGCCTCTCTGCCACCGGTAACGCCATCACAACAGAGGATGGAAAACATCCCCTACCAGATCTGCCACCATCTTCTGCATGTATTTTGTGCATTTTTCCACCTCATTCTTGGGCCCTCTGAGTTGAACAATATCACTTTTTTGTGCTGGGTCTGGAAAGTTGATGATAACCTGCAAAAAACCATCACAAATTCAACTTCGGTTACTGCTAACGACTAGATTCCAAAATCCTGACTCTCTCCAAGTGCCAATCAATTCCCCCTAGAGGGCCTGAAGAATTCCACAGGGAGATCTTTACCTCTGGGAATTTGTCACGAATTTCACGGATCCGTTCACCCTTCTGCCCAATGATTGTGCGATGGAATCTCTGCTCAATGATCAGGTCCTTGGTGCGCTCGTTTTCCTAAAAACAAAATTCAAGCATATGACATTAGAGTGAGGGGCTCCCGGGAGCCCGGGGAGCCCGGGCAGCACAGCACTGCTCTGAAGCGTTCCCAGGAGTCACCAGCTAGGGGAGAGCACCCACTAGAGGACACCTGTTTCCCCAGCAACACAGGCTGGGCGTTATTCTCCTGAATGAGGAGCAATTCAACAACTAAGCATAGGACCGACTCTTCAACTGAAAGTGCTACAGCAAGTAGCCTTCATCACCCCAGCAGCTCACCTAGTGTTTCTGTGTTGACAAGAACAAGAGACCTTGAGACCTAATACTCACAGAACAGGCAGTGATCCTTGCTCCACACAGCGTGGTTCAGACCACTGCTCTGTGTGGACGCTTAAGAAAGACTAATTGAACACCAGGCACTAAACTTGCATGGTTCTCACCCTCCTCCAGGTCTCACTAAAATGTCACAAGACCTACAAAGGAATAAACAGACCTGGCATAAAGGAAAAAACACTACAAGCCAACCACGTGAAAGGATTCAGGAGATCCTGGATTAGACTGGCACCAGGCTGACAGAGCAATAAGGGTTCAGTAATCCAACATAGGTGCAGGACACTCCAGACCAAGGGGCCCTGGCCAGACAATGGAGGCAGGCCACCTGCGCTGGCCTGCAGCGGAGCACAGGGAAAAGCCTACTGTCAAAAGGGGGCCTTGGGACGCCTGGGTGGCTCAGCGGTTGGGCTTCGGCTCAGGGTGTGATCCTGGAATGCCTGGATCGAGTCCCACATCGGGCTCCCTGTAGGGAGCCTGCTTCTCCCTCTGCCTGTGTGTGTCTCTCGCTGCCTCTCATGGAGAAATAAATAAAATTAAAAAACAAACAAACAAAAAGGGGGCCTTGAGGAGCGGCTCCAGGCTTGGGCACCTGTGCCAGGTGGTGAAAAGGTGGCAGCAGACACAAGGGCCTCGCTCCTTGCCCCAAGAAGCACGTGCCTTGCCCTGCCCGAGGCTTTCCTGATACTCTGCACAAGTCTACGCTAAGCTACAGTCACTCGGGCAGCATGTAACTCCTCTGGATTCTGAAAGGTGCCCCTGAGACCCTTACATGCAGCCCAAGTAGAGAGTCACTGCTCGTGATCTGCGCCTGAGTCACACAATCACGAAAGGCACAGCAGTGTGGGCTGCTTAGCCCAGGGGAGTGGAGTGCTTCAGTCTGGCAGCAGGGGCAAGGCCCACCCATCTCCACCCCCAGAGCTGCAGACAACCACACAGCCGGGACTTTTAACCTTAGCTGCACATGGGAGTCTCCTGGGTACTTTTAAGAATTGGCACTTCAAGCATCACAGACTCGGCTTGGGCCAAGGCTGAACACCCCCCACTCTCCCTCCGTATAGCACCTGGGCCCCAGCGAGTTAGAGACGCTCCCCGAGTGAGACCCATTCTTGAGAACCGGGGGTGAAAATAATGCTACTCCACAGACGCACCCAACAGAGAGAGGTACGCACACTCCTTCCCAGCAGGACCCGGCCACACGTCTTACCATTCGAGAGGCGAGCTCCAGCAGCTCCCGCTTGGCCTGCTGCACACCCTGTGGGTCCCCCTCGATGCGAATCAGGTTGCTCTTCTCACTGTCAGGAGGGATGCGCACCGACACCTTGTACTGGTCTTTGATTCTGTTTACTGAAGAATATAAAAAGAAACACATTTTGGACTCAGTTTCTACTGTGTTCCACCACTAACAAACAACCTAGCAGAACAGGGCCGAACCCTAAAAAACCCTACCAGTCACCACACAAGCACAGGGTGATTAGGACTCCACAGCAAGACTTTTGATTCTATCAAAGGAGCTGCTTATGGTCTCCACCTGGATCAACCACACCAGTGTCACCCTGACATTATCCTGCGGCAGATGGTGAGGACCCCTCAGTGTGGGGGGCTTAGCTAGTCTGGGGTATGGTGGGGGCTTTAAAATACTTAAAAGATCACAGGTATTTCTTTCTTTCTTTCTTTCTTTCTTTTTTTACTTTGGATCTTTTACTCATGTACTGATCACCTGGGAAATAACACACGTAGTTGACACATTTCATTATAGGACATCAAAGAATTATTCACTGATACTACCTTTTTCATCAGTAGAGAAAGTATTAGAAAGCTTTTCAAAATTTGAATTAATTAACATACAGTATATTAATTTCAGAGCTAGAGGTCAGTGATTCATAGGTCTTTTTTTTTTTTAAATATAGATTTTTTAATTTATTCATGAGAGACACAGATTGAGGGAGAAAGGGAGGCAGAAACACAGGCAGAGGGAGAAGCAGGCCCCATGCAGGGAGCCCGACGTGGGACTCGATCCCGGGTCTCCAGGATCAGGCCCTGGGCTGAATGCAGCGCTAAACCACTGAGCCACCCGGGTTGCCCGATTCATAGGTCTTATAGGACACCCAAGTGCTCATCCCATCACGTGCCCTCCTAATGCCCATCCCCCAGTGACCGTGTCCCCCCACCCCCTCCCTCCAGTGACTGTATGTTTCCTATGATTAAGGGTCTCCCATGGTTTGCCTCCGTCTCTGATTTCGTCTTTATTTTTCCTCCCTTCCTCTATGTTCCTGTTTGGCTTCCTAAATTCCAAACACGAGTGAGATCATGTAACTTTCTCTGACGTGTGTCACTCAGCATGATACCCTCCAGCAGTTCCATCCACGTCGAACCAAATGGTGGGTATTCATCCTTTCTAATGGCGGAATGGTATTCCATCATATATAAACCACATCTCCTTTATCCCTTCAACTGCTGAGGGACATCGTGGCTCCTTCCACAGTGTGGCTATTGCGGACATTGCTGCTAGAAACATCGGGGTGCAGGTGTCCCAGCGTTTCACTGCATCTGTATCTTTGGGGTAAATCCCCAGCAGTGCAACTGGGTCATAGGGTAGCTCTATTTTCAACTCTTTGAGAAACTTCCGCACACTGTTCTCCAGAATGGCTGCACCAGCTTGCGTTCCCACCCACAGTATAAGAAGGCTCCCCGGGGATCCCTGGGTGGCGCAGCGGTTTGGCGCCTGCCTTTGGCCCAGGGCGGGATCCTGGAGACCCGGGATCGAATCCCACATCGGGCTCCCGGTGCATGGAGCCTGCTTCTCCCTCTGCCTATGTCTCTGCCTCTATCATAAATAAATAAAAATTAAAAAAAAAAAAAAAAAAAAAAAAGAAGGCTCCCCTTTCTCTGCATCCTCCCTAACACTTGTTTCCCGTCTTAGTTTTAGCCATTCTCACTCGTGTGAGGTGGTATTTCATGGTGGTTCTGATGTGTATTTCCCTGATGCCCAGTGATGTGGAGCATTGTTTCGGGTGTCTGTTGGCCATGTGCAGGTCTGCCCTGGAGAAATGTCTGTTCATGTCTTCTGCCCATTTCTTGACGGGATTGTTTGGTTTTTGCGTGTTGAGTTTGGTCAGTTCTGTGAAGATCTTGGATACCGGCCCTTTATCAAAGATGTGTCATTTGCAAATATCTTCTCCTGTTCCGCAGGCTGCCTCTGGGTTTTGTCCATGGTTTCCTTTGCTGCAGAAGCTTTTTACCTTAATGAAGTTCAATAGTTCATTTTTGCCTTTGTTTCCCTTGTCTTTGGAGAGGTGTCTAGCAAGAAGTTGCTGTGGCTGAGGTCAAGAGAGGTGCCTGCCTATGTTTTCCTCTAGGATTTTGATGGTTTCCTGTTGTGTATGCATCAGAAAGTGGTCCAGTTTCATTCTTCTGCATGTGACTGAATTCTCCCAACACCATTTGTTGAAGAGACCGTTTTTTTCCCACTGGATGTTCTTTCCTGACGAGTTGACCATAGAGTTGAGGGCCTATTTCTGGGTTCTCTATTCTGTTCCACTGATAAAGATCCCAGGTGTTTCTAATGTGGCAACAAGTTTGGGAACTGAACCACTATTCTCAAGTCACAAAATTACTCTTAAAAACCAAAAATAAAACTACCGAAAATCACAAGGCTTTACATTAACTTTACATTTACTTAACTCCATTGAGGCCATACTGCTGCCTATAGAAAGTCCACTATCAGCCCAGATCCAAATCAAGTACTTCACTGTCTTTGCAAAACAAGTGGAATGAGAAGCCCTTTTTCTGCCACTTTTGGACAGAGCCCAGGGTCTGTGGTTAGAGAACCATTCCCCACTCCCTGGAGAGGCTTCATCCCAGGAAATAAGGGAAGCACTCTGCCCAAGATCTGCCGGGGTCGCCGAGGAGAGTCATTGAGCACATGCAGAGACAGCCAAAGCCAAGGAGTCAGAAGAGAGCAGGAGACTTCAGATCATGAAGGAAAGGGGGGTGGAACCAGAAAACAGATCTATTCTAAACCCCCACACTCCTAGGGAGCAGACACCAGCAATGAATTTCAGAACCACACTTCCTTATGGTCTTTTAGGAAGACACCGTACAGTTAATTAAAACAAAAACAAAAACAAAAGCAAGCTACAGTGCGTGCAAGGAAGCACCGCCAGCAGCTTCTGTGGACTCTCACTACCAAAGGGTAAAGCAGCCAGGAACTCAAGACTGACACCAAATACAGCAGAGCTGACAAGCTTACACTTACTATGAACAAACATAGGACTAAGTAGGGCAAAAACCAAAGAGGGCCCAGTCACAGGGCATTCTGTGTAGACAGCTGGGTTCCCTGCCCCCTGGACGGATGCAGGCTGGGCGGTGTGCTGTCCTCTCACCTACCTCCCGCTGCAGCTGAGACAGCGGACAGGGAGTGCACCGTGGCGTGCAGGCTGGCCTCACAGGCAAGCAGGGCCCTGGGTGTGTCTCAGATAATGCTCTCAACCTGGGCAGAGCACTCACTCAGCACGCTTCCAGCAAACCGCTCTCACACTCCTGGTCTGACAGGGCTCACCGGGGACTCAGTGTTCCCAAGTGCCCCCTAGGAACCCTCCTGTGCACTGAGAGACACGCACGTGAGCCTGGACCTTTCCTCCTCCTGGGGGAGCCCCGCCAGGGGCGCGTTCAACAGCGACTCCAGAAGGACGGCAAAACTAGGGATGTCGCCCCACCAGGCTCAGGGGCTCCTTCACTGTGGCCTCTGACCAGGCTGGTCAAGGTTGCCTCCAGACCAACCAGAGCCCGAGGGGCAGACGAGGACACCCAGTCAGAAACCATGAGCCTTTCTCCCACCACGGTCACCCTCACTCACTGTTGGCCCCACTCTTCCCGATGAGGTGTCTGTGGAACTTGTGGTCCACGTTGATCTCTACGTAGTCCATCCGGTTGATCTGCCAAGGAGAGAACACAATGCGTCCACAGACAAGCTCTCGAGGCCACACCAAAGCCCGCAACCTGGCAGCTGTTGCCCCTTTTGCCACTTAACTGGCAGTCTCTGTTCCAAGACAATCATTCTGGCCCCATTGGAAGATCCTTCTCTAAAACAAGACTTCCTATACCTATGACTCTTCCGACTTCGCCCGCTTCAACTGTTTCACGACTCATTATTCACTCCTGGGGGGGGGGGGCGGGGGTCGTCCCCAGGCCCACCCACCATGTGACGTCTCACAGGCCAAGCAATGACAACCTGGATATGTCCCTACTGCACCAGCACCCAGGACGTGCAAAGGGGCACCTTACCAAGTCTTTGACCATGGCTTCGATCTGTTCCTGAGCCACGTTTACATCCTCTGTGGGGCCTTCCAGGGTGATCTTGTCCTCACCCTCTGTGAACTCAATGTGAACCTACCACACCAAAATAAGGGAAGAGACAGTCAAGACAGCATGGCACGGGGCAGTGCCCCCCCGAGAACAACGAGTGCTTTGCTGAGGCAGTGGCCAATCCCCCCTGCTTCATACAAATGCATGTCCACAGACCCGCAGAAAGCTGAAGAGGGCAGCTGGGGGGGGGGAGGGACACCTGTTATTCGGGTACTAAATATTACGGTCTAATCTTCTGTTCACTAGCTATGGGAACTGTGAAATCCTCCATGATGTGCCACAGAATAAAACCACATCAGCACCGACTGTCATCCCCATTCCCTGTACACTTCCACTGTTACGGGGCCATTTTTTTTTTTTTAAGAGAGAGAGTATGTGTGCATGTGCATACACCCCATTAGGGGGATGGGCAGAGGGGGAGGGAGAAGACCCCACCCTGGGTACAGTCTGAAGCGGGGCTCGATCCCATGACCCTGAGACCTGAGCTGAAATCAAGGGTCTGACCGGCAATCAACAAGTGGTTCATGAACCACTCAGGCGCCCCCTGGGGCCACTCTTCTTTGCTTGCAAAACAAATGAGACAAGGATCAGGGATGGAATTTTAATCTGCGTACAGCTGGCTGCCCAAAGGTGGTCCATGGGCAAGGCCAGCCCTGTCCTCATTTGTAACACACCAGGCAAGACAGTGACATGGGACAAGGGTGGTAGGGAGAGTGGCCCCATGAAGCCACTGCATGTGCGAGCACCAGGGCTCGGAGCCCAGGGAAGTGGAAGGACTAAGAAGTCCCTTGGAAACCAAGTGTGAGTAGGAGGACAGTCCAGCGGACGTGTCCTCTGGCCAGCCATCCCACACGTTCACTGGGAGCTGCAGTGGCTGCTGGAAAAGTGGAAGGGCATCAACGACGGAGGTGGAAAGCATGAAGAGGCGGTAACTCCAAGCTTCACACGAGCTGCGCACCCGTAACTAGCGGGAAGTTACCCTGCCCTAACAGACAAAGGGGACGAGTGCTAGGGTAGTCACGAAACCCAACAACACACACACTCTCTGGCTAAAAAGGTTGAAAGAACGGCAGAGGTAGTTTTAGGAATTCATTTTCATCTTCCTCAGCCCACTGTGGAAACCGTGACACACACACAACGTGCCACGCCCAGAAGAGAAACGATGTCAGAAACGTGATGACAAAAGCAGGAAAGACTCAGTAACTAATTCCCGATGCCTCCTCACCTTGGGCATCTGCTGAGTGATTTTGGCCAGGTTCTGCCCTTTCTTGCCAATGATGAATCGGTGAAGCCAGGAAGGAGCAGAGACGGAGGACACCGTAAAACTGTTGGCCTAGGAAACCAGGAAGCAGAAGGTGGGGCCGTGCGGTCGCGGTTCTGTGCGCGTGTCCCCCAGAGCTGGGCCGCCCGCTAGGACCCCGAGGTGCGTGAGCGCTCCCAGGAGGGCAAGTAAGGAGTCCGGCCCTTCACGCAGAGCTGGGACCCACTCCTGGAGCAGTTACCTTGGCATAGACTTCAGTCAGGGCCTGCCCTAGCTTTTCAGGCTCGCCTCGCAGTATCACAGTCTCCGAGATGCTATCTGAGGGTGGGATCTCCACCGAAACTCCTGTTCTTTCCAGGATCTCCTGTAACGAATTGCCTTTGGGCCCGATGACATACTTGTGCTGGGATTTCTTCACCTCCACAGCGATGGTGGTGGTCTTCTTTTTCTAAGCAAAAGCACGATAAGGGCATTAGAGGGAAGGGCCCATGAGGACCAAAAGGGGAGGGAACAGGATGCAGAGCCCTCGACCGCACCTCTGAGCCCCACAAAGTGAAGAAGGGGAAGAGCTCATGCACAGAAACTCCTCTGATCAAGAAGGACTGGGTCTCTCCTCCTAAGAATCACCTCAGAATTTAGTCATGACCAGATGAAGATGGCAGCTTCTAAGAGGTGAAGACCCCCAAGTCCCCTCCATACCTCAAAGAATGAGGTTCAGACCCCACAGCCCGCCAGAGTGAGCTATGCTCTCTTCCCCATCATTACCTTCTCCTCATAAATCTTCTTGATGCGAGCCACAGCCTGAGCCAACTGCTCCTTCTCTCCAGTGAAGACGATTTCTGTCCGGTTGACGCTGGGCGGGGGGATGTTGATGCGTGTCCCTGTCTCCTGCATGATCTCACCGACGAGTCGGTTATAAGGCCCGGCGATGAAAGGGTGGAATGCTTTCTCCACCTCCAGCCTCTCGACAGCACGTTTGTCCTGGAAAGGACAGGCCACAAGCATGAGGGCACGGCTGTGGGACTGAGGCCGGCACACACACATACCAGGCTCTCAGCTGGCCCCACCTGCTCAGCAGAGATGAGCAGGACCTCGTGGCGAGCTTTCTCGATGCCTTCTTTGGTGCCGGTGATCCGGATCTGATTGCTGGCGTCATCTGGGCGCGGGATCTGAATTTTGGTTGCAGTTTTCAGCTCCAGGTCTTGCAGCTTCTCTCCATTTTTGCCAATAACAAAGCGGTGGTGCTCTTTGGGAATGGCAACAGTCGCTGAGGCCTACAACAGGTAAAGAACCAAAGATGGTAGCTGGCTTTGTAGGTTCTGAAAACGTGTATTTCTCCACGACATTGTCTCTGGCTGAAAGGCTGTTCTTGCCTAGCCAACCTCAATCCATCCCTCAGAACAGTCTCAAGTTAAACATCATGTTCTTGGGGAAGCGTACCTTGACCCCCAGGCTAGAAAAGTTCAAGCGCGATACATTCAGATGGCCCCATGTGACCGCCCTGAGCTTGTCGAAAGGATTTAGTGGTGATTGTTTGTTCAACATCTTCTCAGCCCAGTAAGCCATCATGAGAACAGGAATATTCAAGAATGCTGTCTTGTTTTCCACTATGATGATTGCTAACACATCCTAGGACATGGCAGGAAAGCAGGTACATACTAATTTGTTTCTCGAGGCATAGGCTACTTTTTTTTTTCCCAGAGGGAAGCCGGACATCCTGTAATAAACTCTTCTTCCTATCTCTTTCACAACCAGTTAAAATAGACAACTTATCTGAGGAAATACAATAGAAAGAATCCAAACCCTTAATCCAATGACAGTCCAATTGCTAGAAATCAAGTAACTTCCCGAAGTCACAGAGACTCCTAGTCTTCTTGACTGTGCAGAAAACAGCTGCCAAGAAGACTTAAAAAAAAAAAAAAAAAAAAAAAGCAAAGTGTTAGCACTCCCAACACCGGTAGAGCAGAGACTCGCAGACCAGCCAGGAATACAAGCTTATAGCCGCCTACTTAACATTCAAAACGAAAATGTTAAATTGTGTCACGGAAGCGATACAGAAGGTCCTCACTTCCCAACTGGTGTAGGAAGACAGGCCACCAACTCAAACACACTGATCAAACGTTTACTTCAAAAATGGTTTGGGATTCAGAAATCAATTTACATAATTCATATCGTGACATGTGAGAAAAAAAACCAAGCGACCACCTTCACAAAATTTAAATCCATTCACGATTAAAAACGTGCAAGAACGGGGATCCCTGGGTGGCGGAGCGGTTTGGCGCCTGCCTTTGGCCCAGGGCGCGATTCTGGAGACCCGGGATCGAATCCCACGTCGGGCTTCCGGTGCATGGAGCCTGCTTCTCCCTCTGCCTGTGTCTCTGCCTCTCTCTCTCTGTGACTATCATAAATAAATAAAAAAATCAAAAAAAAAATTTAAAAAAAAAAAAAAAATAAAAACGTGCAAGAAAATACAAATGTTATTTACTTAATGTGACACAACATGCACCCAGCGCAGCCTGTACTCAGAGCTGTGCTCAAGTGGAGCACCCACTGAGGCCCGACCCCCACGGGAGCCGAGCTGAGGAAGCAGAGGAGGCCCAAGCGTTACCGGATAAGGAAGAGAGCAAAGGCCTGCGCCCTCAGAAACCGACAACTTTCTAGAATTTTTGATGTCTGTAATGGGGAGAAGGAAATCAGAACCCAGCATCAACAGATTTAACTCCTATTAACTGTAACCAGTTAGCAAACGCAACGGGGAAGGATGGCCGTGCCCACGGATGCGGAGTGGGGCGGGGGGGGGGGGGAGACAAAGCGACTGGACACGACCCAACAGAAAGGGTGGGATATGTGCATTAGAAACTACAAAACACTCCTTAAAAGATCTAATGCAATTCTGAGCAAAATGTAGATTATCAAGCTTGCGTGGCACAAAGAAAAAGAGCAGGGCAGGAAAACCCTGGACTGTCCACGAGGGGTGGTGATAACTGTACTAGATAGAAATCCAAGACCATGACCATGAGGACAGAACACGAGTACAGAGGGGAAGGCCCCCGGGTTGGGACTGAAAATACACACACACAACCAAGTTAATACGAAAACTTAGGACTTCAAAAAACCACACTCAAATCACTGGGGGAAAACTTTTATAACTGGTGTTGGCTACCAAACAGACATCTGGAGAAGATGAAAGTGGGTCTGCATGTTGCACTGCTCACAAGAAATCCCAAACTCAACCCCCCGCCCTTCCATGCACCACAGAAAAGACTAGGTTTCTTACAACTCAGAAGTGAAACAAACTTTCCTAACAATAACTCAAAAGAACAAAAGGGTAAGGACACGTAACTGCACTAGAATAAAAAGCCAAATAGCAAAACATACCCAAATCAAAAAACAAATGGTGAAGTGGGAAAGGTGGTTTGTACGGCATGTAAGGTTTTTGAAGGCTCGACTACACCAAGCAAGGTGGACAATTCTAAAATTGATAGATGAGGGCAAAGACAAGACAGTGCAGAGACAACACGCACACAGCCCTCAGGTATTAATAAAGACACACGGAAGGACGCCTGGGGGGCTCAGTGGTTGAGCGTCTGCCTTCAGCTCAGGGCAGGATCCCGGGGTCCCCGAATCCAGTCCCGCATCGGGCTCCCCGCAGGGGGCCTGCTTCTCCCTCTGCCTGTGTCTCTGCATCTCTCTCTGTGTCTCTCAGGAATAAATAAATAAAAAAGATACACTGAATTCTGCTCATCTGAAAAAAAAACAAATTAAAAGTATACTCTGCTACTTTTCAGAGTGACAAAAAAGCCCAAGCCTCTGCTCCGTGCAGCAGGGCTCTGGGGGAGGCTCTGGGGAACACAAACAATGCCCAGCACCTGAGGGACAGGGCTCGCAGCTCCTGCAGAATAACAATACGCGCTGTCCTCTGGCCCAGCCACCTCACTGCTAGGAAATGGATCTTGAGACACACTTCGTGAAACAGGAAATCCCATATGCACATGGTTTTTATTGAGACACAGTTTGTAACAGGAAAGTTGGGAAGACACCCAAATGCCCATCAACAGGAATGCCTGAATAAATTACAACACACCCACAGAGCATCTCGCAGCTGTACAAAGAAAGGAGCAGAGCCACTATCTGCTGATATGTAGACACCTCCAGAAAATATGCGGGAAAAGACAAGGTGCAGAAGAGGGTTTACTATGACAAGTCGTCTTGTACTTCTATTTTCAAATCTGAAAGAGGGAAGGGGTCCATCAAAGACTAAGAACAGCCAGTCAGCAAGGGAGGGAGGGACACGGTGCAGAGGCTGTGTCTGACTGAACCTTATTATACTACTCTGTGTACCAACCTTGACTACAGCTCAAGATGAGAGCACAAATTCCTTCAAGCGATTTTAAAGCCGTATCATCTTCATTAGAACTACTAGGATGAACTCCTGCAACTTCCTACTAAAAAGGCGTGGAGTTCCTGGATGAACAGCTGCCATCAGATCTGTGGCCGCAGCTGGGCCGCTCGTCTCCAGGTTAGAGAGTAGGAAATGGTGGACATGAACGGTCACCCCATAAAGCTGCAGGGTACCAACCTGAAGGTGTCCCACTGTCCAAAGATGATGCAATTTCACCTTAACGACTAATAAACACATCCAAAGTTCGTAACGACAAGGAGAAGATTCCCGGATCCCTACCGGACATGCCAGAGCACCAATGCAGCCTGAACACTGACTAAGCAGCTGGCAGAGGGAAGTTCTTCACAAGGACACCAACTAACGCAGGTGGAGAGCGGGGGTAGCAAGCCACATCCACACGGCGATGAATTTAGGCTGTCATCAGCGGGAGAGGATACAACTGCTATGCCAAAGAACGAATGGGAACTTTATTAATGGATGGATTTGCTGAAGACTCCCAAGTCTAGTGATCCATCTTGGAATCAACAGCAGCTACACAGGACCACCCACAAGTTTTCTTGCCACATAAGTAAGCTGAACGTGAAGGAAACCAAGCCCCTGCATCTAACCACCAGTTTACAGGAAACAGTGATGGAGAGTGGGACAAAGCAAACACTTGCTTATACTGAAAAATCAAAGGCATCAAGAACAGGAGAAGAGGGCAGTACTGAGGAATGAACGAGCACGGCAGGCAGGCCTGGTTCAGGTGTTGGTTTCAACAAGTCAACTCAGAAAGACCCCTGCAGATAATGAGAGAAGCCCATTAAATAGACACGGGTGAATGGATATATTCAGAAATTACTATTAGTTTTAATAAGTTAATAGCCTAGTAGATTATATTAAGAGGGGAGCACACTGAGTTATTTACAAGCAAATAATGTATCTGGGATTTGCTTTAAAGTAATGGGGGCAGGGGCACTGGTTCAGATCTCCGCGCTCAGTGCTCAATCACTAAATACTCAAATATTCACCAACCAGTAAACAGCCCAAGTCTGAGAGCTTACTACACACCAGCCACAAAGTGAAACAATCGACACACATTTTCAATTGCCTCCACTTAATGAGTTCATTCCCGAAACTAGTGGGGGTTAGGGACTGACTGTTCCAGGGCCCAGCACGTCCCAGTGAGAGAGGCTGGGCAGCACAGGGCCAATCCCCTCCTCTGTGCCGAGTCCCCAGCCCCTGCCCCACGGCACATCATCTTCTAGCCACCACATTCTGGAGCCAGCTCCCCGATGAGCTCACAGACCATCAGGGTCAGGTGGAGAGGACCCCTATTTCTTCTCTCATTTTATAAAAGATTATAGTTTTAAGTAGTCTCTATACCCAACGTTGGGCTCAAACTTACAAGCAAGATCGAGACTTACACTCTACTGACTGAGCCAGCCAGGAATCCATGGGCCTCCGTATTTCTAAGGAAACCCATCTAAAGTTGTACCCATCTAAAGTTGACAACAAGACTTTTTTTCGACTTTTTAAAAAATCTACTTATTTTAGAGAGAGCACACATAGGCAAGCACGCACCGGGGGGACGGGCAGAGAGGATTCCAAGCAGGCTCTGCACCAAGCACAGAACCCAATGTGGGGCTTGATCTTAGGACCCTGAGATCAAGACATGAGCTGAAATCAAGAGTTGGATGCTCAACTAACTGCGCCACCCAGGCACCCGTCCTAAGACGCTTTATTAAGATTGTGTTTACCCTGATCTTCAAGTGATGCCATGTATGGAGAAATACATCACAGGTTTACTTATTTATTACAACAGTTCCCCAATAAATTCCAAGTAATGCTATCAAACTGCTAAGGACTATGGGAATTGGCCTAAAATACACACCTGAACTCGCACTCTCCCAATACAGGACCTGGAAATGTGTACGTACACAGCAATATGCTGAGTCCTGAGCTACGCCCTGGGAATGAGTGACCCACGGTGGTGTCTTCACTATACCATACAGCAAGCCTGGCTTCTCGGAGTGTCCCAACCTCTGGGACAAGCCTTAATCTTCCTGTACATTCACTCAAACAGCAAAATCAGTAGGTGTCCTCCTCCTGTCACTGATTTTGGGGCTTTCCAACTAAAAATGCTACGAGACTCCAAATGTTGCTGGCCTACCTCTGAACTCTGGACTTTCTGCCACAGCTTGTGACAAAGCCCGACCGTACCTGTTGCAGCCCGTGGTACAGGGCTGGAGCACATCCACTCAGGGGGATGAGGCTGGGGATACCCACCTGAGTCTGCAGCCTAGCGACAATGTCCTTCCGGGCTTTCATGACAGCGTCCAGCTTCCCTGACACCATGATGGAGAGGCCCTGGTCTTTGGCGAGAGACAGCTCCAGGTGGGCACCGGTCCTCTGCATGATCTCTAGGCAGATTTTTGCTTGCTCACCTTCTCCAAATTGGTTCATGTCCTTGTATTTTCTCTCTTCCAGGGGTACATGGAACACCTACTCAGGAAAGGTCAGAAAGGGAAGGTAAAGAGATCAAGAGCTGGGAGGGCATGTAAATGTTTAGGCATTTCATTCACTCCTAAGTATCTCCACCTCCTCCCCGTCCACACTCCAAGGCCAGAGCAGCAGGGGTGGAGGCCCACGCAGAGAGCGCCTGAGGGTAAGGGAGCTGGCACTGCAGGGAAGAGAAGTACTCTCACAAATGGACACAATGGACAGTGAGGAAGAGCGGCAGAGGACACCCTCAGGGAGTGGGGAAAACAGCTGGGAGACGGGAGACCCAAGACCACCGAGAAGAGCAAAACGGTGAGGGCAACGGAAAAGGGTAGGCAGGGGAGCAGCGTGAGCATGGTGGGGTGCAATCCAAGCGGAGAAGGTGACAAAGGGCTCAAGCCGAAGGGTACAGGCTGGCTGATGACTCAGCTTTGCCTTAGCTGCTCCATCAAGGGAGGCAGATGCAGGAGGAACCAAAATGATCCTGGCCTTGGGCCTGAACCCCTCAGTAGAACACAGTGCAGTTAACAGAGAGGAAGACTGGGGAGACATCAGTCTCATCTCAGAGAGCCTGAAAGGTGCCAAGTTCCAGAATGCAACTGGTTGCGGGGGCTCAGGCTCAGGAAAGGGGACTCCTCAGCACATGGGTGGTGGGTAATTAGCACCCACACGACCCAACACAAGGTCAGAGAGAAGTGCTATGCCTGCGGATACCCCACATTAAGGCAGCACAGGGATGGACTTGTGAGAGGAAAGAAGAAGCCAAGAAAAGACAACTCGCTTTGACACGGTGGGACAGAAGACAGAGAAGACAAGTTCTTGTGGGGCTGGTGAGGTGGCAGGCCGCTTGCAGCAGGCTGAAGAACCTTCTGAGTGTTGGGGCTACACAGGTGGGCATGACGACAGGCTCCCCAGGAACGGGGGGGGGGGGGGAGGCAGGGGAGCTGATTCACTCTGACAGCCTCTTCCCCTTACACGCCCAAAGCACGCTCACGCTCACGCTCACGGTGGTGCGTTCAAAAACCATTCTATCAGGTGCTACCACTTCCTACTTGGGAGGAACAGGTAAAGAATGGAGTTTCTACCTGAGTGATGACGGAAGCTTTGATGGGCCGGATCTTGTTACTCCAGGCGCCAGCAGGCTCCTGGGCGTTCTCCAAGCAAGCTGATTTCTCTGGGAGCGGAGGAAAGGCATCTTTGTAGGTTGGAGGGTCGCTCTCCTCTTCCGAATTTAAAGTAGCAACTGGACCGGCCAACATAGATTAAAAGGAAGCACAGTGCTTTCAACATTAGACCAAGAAAGGTTTGATGAGTTTTAACGTCAAAACAACATTAACTGTTTGAGTGACAACTGTTTGAGCACCCCACCACCCCCCGCCTACCCAATCTCTTCCTTGAAGTGATGGGCAAGAGCCCCAGGAGGTCACCAGGCCCAGCACCCTCGGGTGCCGCATGTGGCCTGAGAGGCAGCCTCTGACCTGCTGGCAAGTACCCTGCCCCTGCATGTAGCCTCCGTGCTGAGTGGTCAGCTCAGACACCGGGTGCCCTGCTCCCCCCTGAATGGGGTGAGCCCCTTGAAAACAGGCCTTGCCACAAAGAATTTAAGCCCCTGAGTCTTCTGATCCTGTGCTTAAAAAAAAAAAAAAAAAAAAAAATCACAGCTATGACGTTTGGCACATAACCAGCCCTTAAATTTGCAGAATAAAATAATGTTGTTGCTCAGCACTGCCTGTCAGAACTGCCTCTGAGCCCGACTCCAGCCGTTTCCCACTGTAGTATACAGCACCGAAAATCACCCTTTTGGGAGCTGCCATCCCTAGCCACCTCGCTCCAATCCTCAGGAGCAACAAGCGTTGTGGAAACCAGGCCCCCAGAGCATTAATTGCTTCCATCCCCCACGGCGCCCTAATCATTCACGTTCTTGTCCCATTAACCACAGCTCCGTGAAAACAGGAGTGTGACTTTTTTTGATCACCCCAAATGCCCTGGCAATGGCAGGGCCCAATCAAAACCACTCTGAATGGATGTGCCCACAGTGCAGGGAGATGACCTTTGGAATCAGACAGGCCTACGTCCAAGTCTGGGTTCACCACTTTGGGCCACATGGCTGTGCTATCCCGGGACACCAATCAAGACGCGGCGCCGACAGGCAGCTGGAGCCTGTCAATGCCTTGCTTCCCTCATCTGAAATGCAGACCCTACAGGATCTTGGATTAAGTACAAGGATTCAGCCCGGCAGGCACTCTGCACTGTTTGGGTCTCCACTGCCCTAGAAACAAGCACTTAAAGCACACAGCCAGTGTCAATGGTGTCAGAGTGAATTTTTAGCTTTAATTAAACTTAAGAACTGATAGTCGACTCAGTTAATCTACTCTTCCTCCTGAAAATTTCATCATCTACACACAGTTGAACGATTACAGATAAGAACTGAGCATTCAAATCAAGTTATCCTGTTTTTGTAAATACATACCAGATTTTGAAGGATTCAACACCACTGGGGAACAGCAATTTTGCAAAAGAATCTCATTTTGATTACCAAGGATCAAAATCACTGGCTTTCCAGAAAGGAGTCCACACATCCAATCTTTCTGTGTCCAGAAATATCTGTCGCTCCTGCCCAATTCCACCCTGCACGCAGGGGCAGTGCCGGGCTGGCAGTGCAACACAGAGCAGGTAAGAAGCAGGAGCCTAGGCTCTACCCCACGGCTACAGTCCCAGAAGGCACTTCTAAGAGGCCATAAGGTTTGACAAAGATTTGGAAAGAGTAGTGTCTCAAAGTGAGAAGACGAGCACAAAAGGGCGGTCACCTTTGATCTGTTGCGGAACCAGCCCACTTCGGTGTTCAGCAAAGCTCTCTTGGGTCAAAACTGCAACGGAGCTCATGGTGGATCTCGCGCCTACACACAATCCGGGTGAGCCACTGAAGCAGGAGGGAGTGAGTCAGAGAGAAGACAGTCAAGGCACAGCCAAACTGTTAGGCTTAGGATTTTAGCCAAGGTTTTAATTCAGTTTCATCAGCAAACCACATCATTTTCCTCACTTACAACCCCTGATGTAAAATAGCACCCCAACTTTCACCAAATGATGAAAGGAAGGAAAATTCAAGTGAAGTTCCCCTCAAAAGTTATCCTCTAAGTGAGGAGCCAGAGGCTCCAGCTGAGAACTCCAGTCCCACGATGTCCAGGGGCTGCAGAGACGGCCTGCAGATCAACATCTGGATGGTTCTCCTAACAGCTATCTCAGTTATTTTGTTAATTTGTTCATCCACATGCCTCCTGATGCTTATAAAATCCATCACGTGACAGTTGCTACAAGGAGCCATCAGATGGCCCCTGCAAGGACGGCGGGCACCGTGGCCACGGTCAGCCAGGCCCAGCACACCGCAGCCGGCCTGGCGATGCTGCTGCTGGCGAGATCCTTCCTTCGGTGCTCCGTGGCAACAATGTAACGGCAAGAAGCAGGGTGGTTAAGTGCCTCTGACTTGTGCTGGCTGGTTATTCTCTGATGTCCTAGCTCTCAGGGGCCAGAGGGGACTCAGGGCAGCTGGAACCAACCCAAGGGCAGAGTTCCTCAGTTCAGGGAAGGAACCAAGCAGTGTGTGCCTCCAGATCCCACTCCTGGGTGCCAGGTACTCAGGGGGACTGTGGGCTCTGAAAGCCACAGCCCCTTATCTGGAAAAGGGGCTCATTCAGCTTTGAGGCAGGGGTGTTCGCTTCCTCCCTTCACCTTCCTTTAGGTGAGCTCCATGCGACTGTGATGACAAGAACCCACTCTTTCCACACCATTGTGCACCAAAGTGTCTTTTTCTACCACCATGGCAAAAAAGTATTAAGAGAGCCAAGTGATGGAATAAAGGGGAGTTTCTGCATAATTTTCACAGCTCTGGGAGACTTCTTCCCAAGTTCAAGAAAATTAAGCTCTGCATTCCTCAAGAGAAGGAGGGTCCAAATTCAGATAATCATGAACAAACATAATTCACATTTAAGGAAAAAAAAAAAAAAGGCTTGGGGGCGCCTGGGTGGCTCAGTCCGTTAAGCATCTGCCTTCGGCTCAGGGCATGATCTCGGGGTCCTGGGATTGAGCCAAGGGTTGGGCTCCCTGCTCAGCGAGCAGTCTGCTTCTCCCTCTCCCCACCCCAAATTGTGCTGTCTCTCTCTCTTTCTCATAAATAAGTAAACAAATAATTAAAATCTTAAAAAAAAAGAAAAACAAGAAAGAAAAGGCTTAAAAATAGGTAAAAACCAGAGGACACATGTGAAGGGCTCCTCTTGGGAGATGTAGTTACAGCAAGTCTTTCTGAGCCACTAGAAACTTAAGAATAAAACATAAGGAAAGAAAGAAAGAAAGAAAAAAAAAAACATAAGGAAAGAAGGCACACATGCAGCCCAGGGATGGGAAGCCTTCCGAAGGAGCAGTCACACTTACCAGCAAAAGGGTCAGTAGCCAGAGAGTCCGTCCTCAGGCGGTGAGTGCCAGCCTGCCAGTTTGTGCTGGTGTGGGACAAGAAGACCAGGAGACCAAAGTTACTTATCTGCATTCCGGAACCCAGACCCTTTCACCTCCCAACCAGAAGAGGGCAAAACTTCATCTACCGCTTTGCTTACCAACACTAACATTTAGACAAGTTCCTTGGGAAAAAAAGGGAAGCTCTGCCCCTGGGCTATTAGCGTCAAACAAAACCTAGTATATACAGTAAAATCTAAAGCTTCCACAACTTTTAGAGGGCAACTTTTCCCTGGACTCGAGGGAGTGACATCTTAATGCCAAAACTTTTCAATTTAACCATTCTGAAGTAAAATCCTTATAAAACTGGTGGCTTGCTTTCCTACATGGTTAATTTCTCCTGCACTCCTCTTAATCTCTGACTGCTGAGCCAGAAGCAGCAGACCCTGTGACCTTGTGCTACGACACAGAATAGTCCGTGGACCTTTGGGGTCCTGAGCTCTTGATGGTGACGGAGATCCGCCATCTTTATGAGCTCGCTGTGTGTTTTGTAGTTACTTTGTTCTCACTGTCATCCTGTAAAAGGCCTTCGGTCCCTTCTAATTCGCCGGGATTTAGAAACCAGGCCATAAAATAGCAGGGTTGGAAGGAACCTTCAAAGGCCCGCTGAGGAAGACCAAGAAGTGCTCTGTGAAGTAAGAGGGTGTGGGTCATCTTGCCTTGGGGACTCTGGGATAGTGAGGCTTCCAGGTCGGTGACCTGCCACTTTACACAGAACACCACACACACTCAGTCAAGTGCAATGAGGTAGGTGTCAAGATGGGGACTCAACAGTAATCCTATCTCCCACCTAACTGGAGAGTAACATCCCAAATCCTTGCCCATAATATGACTATTTCAGGAGCTAGGAGGACAGTTCATGGTCGTCAGGGATGTACCAGCAGACTCCAGATTTAAAAGGGTCTCATTGTCCAGCAGCATTTCAAGACTTTAAAAAAAAAAAAAAAATCTCTAAATGCAGGGTTTCAGCCACATGGGCCAGAGCCTGTCTGGGGCCCCAAGTCCCACCAGACACTCGTATGTACCAAGACAGAGGGAGAAAAGTGGAAGCAAACTGACCCAGATAGTTTTGAGAATCTGTCTTCAATGACTTGTAACCCACAAGTTCTAAAGATTAAGACTTTTCCATTAAATCACATTATCAAAGTAGCACATCCACACGTAGATTCTGACCGGGTGTAAAAGGTGAGCACTCCCTGGAATTCCGAGGGTCTGACCAGTGCACACTTGGCCAGCCTAGGCATGAGATGGAGGTGTTCTAGGTCAAAGTGCCAACAGTGAAGCCAGGATCCAAGCGTCTACCCTGCCCTCCTCACTCAGAACTCCTACTAGGGCTGCACCTGCTCTTTTACCTACTGACCTTGCATTTCCACAGCCTCCCACTCCAGGTCACGCCACGTCACCTCCTAAAACCCACAGACATCCACCCCCCTAATAACCCAGGTTCCCCACGAGGACTATGTTCACACCCTCTTCTCTGGGCTCCCACGGACCAGCCCTCCTGCCTTCCTAGACAGGACATATCTTCGGCGCCCAGTGACAGCCATTCAATAAACGTGGCCAAGTGTGATCACTGTCTGCGTCCCCTCCTGCTAGAGGTCTGTGACGTGCAATTCCCACTGTGCACCTGTCACACGAGATGGGACAAATTCCTGAAGGTCTGAGGGTAGCTCATGCACCTTTCAGAAGTCAATTCCAGCTCGATCTTCTATAAAACCCCTTAGTCCAAGCGACTCAAGGAAGGATCACCGACCCAGCTGAACCTACCAATGTGTTGGAGAGAGTCTGTCCCAGAATCTCTAACACCCCCATGTGTGCACAGACCCTTGGGCAGCAAGAGGACAGAGTGGACCTCCAATCAATCAATCAATCAATCAATCAAAAAATCGAGACTTGTTTGACAGGATACACTGGGTCTCTAGTCCCCAGATTTCCAGTGGCAGTTTACCGCCGCTGGAAATGAATAGATCGCAACGAGCAGCAGAGTTAACATCTGGGGCTCTGATATCATCAAATAAAGTTTCTCTTTTTCTTATAAACTTCTCAAAAAAACCCATTTTTTTAGAATTCGCTTTAAGCACAGACCTTATGATCCATATGTAAATACAGACCTCCCTCCACGTGAGGCTCCGGGGTAAGATTTTATAAAAGGCCAATCTTGGTCCTCCTAACATGCGCTCAAGCAGGACTGTCTACCTGCCTCAACCTCAACCAAGCAGCACTAAGAAACGGAACCCACAGCTCTCTGCCCACGCAAAGTGCTCCCCACCAGCGCTCCACCCTCCCAGACAACACCCAGCAAGACAGCTCCCACTTCACTGAGGCCTTGGGCGACCTCGCCAGTGATCACTGCTATCTAGAGTTCTGAGGACACCTTACACAGGCCACATTATCAAGGAATAGAGGCCAAACAGGGTATCACAGCCCCTCACTGAATCTAATAACGCTGCTCAAATCGGGCTTGAAAGGGACCCGAGGCAAGGCTCTACTGCGGTCTGTGAGCACCAGCAGACCAGAGCTGCGTGGTCTTCCAGGGGCGCCCTGCTCCGCTTCTACACAGCTGTCACGGTGGTCTGCCTCCTGCAGTGCCAAGACCTGCAGCTTCTCCCCGCTGTTGCCGTGGAGAACAAGTCCGCTTTTTTCTACGAGACCACCTCAGACGCACGGAGCCCTTTCTCCTGCAGCTCTTCCCAGGACTGCTCCAGTTCTGCCTTTGTGTGGCTTGCTGTCAACCACAGTTTGTGCAGGAAGCATTTGGATCCACTCGCTCAACACCAATCTCACAATACTCTCACGCTAGACTTTGCCGTTAGTTTGCAGAGTGTGAAAGTCCAGGTGTGTGTGTGTGTGGGGGGGCACATCTCAGAACAGAACTAGACCCAAAGGAAAGAGGATGGACAGGACCAGAGACTGCCCTCTTCCACCCCGGGGAACCATCTAGCATGCCTGACCACCACCTGGAGAAATGTCATGTCCCAGTGACATTGGACCATGACAGAAACCTGGTCGCCACACAAACAACAGGGAAACCCCTACATGAAAAATTTCAACTTCTCTGCAAAAAGGAAAAGTCTCTGCAAGCAGTTAACAGTACTGGGAGAACTTCATCTGGGCCCTGGGCAGGACTGAGCAACACGGGTGCCCGGCGCCTCCAGTGGAGACCAGCACTTCTCTTTTGGCTGCAAACTACAGCTCTTTGCTTTCACCCCTACAGTCGTCCTGCAGGAGAACTTTCCCCCACCGCCCTGCCAAGACCCACGCGCCATCGGGAGCCCGAGTCCCCACCGTGGCAGTGGGAGCCAGGCCCCCCGCACCCCAGGGCCAGGTGAGCTGGTGCTGGCGGCCGCCCCAGTCCCAGTCCCAGTCCCAGTCCCGGCCCACGGCCAGGAGGCCAGGAGGAGCTCCCGCAGATGCCACCTCAGCAGGCAGCCCGGGCCTCGGGGTGAGCCAGGTGCCCCCACCCGTCCCCGTCCCCGGCCCCGTCCCCATCCCCGTCCCGTCCCGGCCCGCAGGCAGCAGGCAGCAGGCAGCAGGCGGCAGGAACTCCGCAGATGCCACCTCAGCAGGCCCTCCCACAGGCCACGCGAGCCCGCGGGCGGGGACAGGCTTAAAGGGGCAGCGGCGCGCGGCCTCCCCGCCGTTCATCCAAATTCGGTATTTTTCCGTAATGTGTTTTTCGTGCGCGGACCCTGGGGTGCGTCCAAGCCCGCCGCGGCCCCCGGGACAGCAGGCGCCCCGGCCGGGCAGTGGGCAGCGGGCAGCAGGTGGAGGTGCAGCGGGGCCTGCGCCCCGACCCGACCCGGCCCTGCCCGCGGACCCGCTGCGCCCCCGCCCCGCCCCCCGCCCCCGGCCCGGCCGCGGGAGGGGCCGCTCTCACCGCCGGACGCCCACGTCAGCGCCCGAGCCCCAGGTCGGCCGCCCCTCCCCCGCCGCGCCGCGCCGGGCCGGGGGAGCAGGGGACTGGGGGGGCGGGGAGGCCGCCTCGGGGGGCGCAGGCGGGGCGCGGGGGGGGGGGGGGGCGGGGGCGGGGAGGGCGCCCGGAGCCGCGGACTCGGGAAAGTTTCTCACTCTCCCGGCCGGCGCCGCGGCCATGCGCAGTGGGACACGTAGCCCGGGTCGGGTCTGGCCGGGTCTGGCCGGGTCTGGCCGGGTGGGGGTGGGGGTGGGGGGAGGGGGCGCGAGCGCTCGGGAGGGGGAGGGGGGAGGGGGCCGCGTGGGGGGAGGGGAGGGGAGGACGGAGGGGAGGAGGGGAGGGGGCAGCGGCCACGTCCCCTCCCCCGCCCGGCCCGGCGCTCCACGTCGGCAGCCCCGCCTGCCCGCCCGCCCGCCCGCCCGCCCGCGCCCCAACCCCCGCCCTCCCCCTGGCCCGCTCACTCCCCGAGCTCGCTCACTCGCTGGGGTCGGGGTCGGCCTCCGCCCGCTCGCCGCCGGCCGCCGCGGAGAAGCCGGGCCGCGCTCCGAGGCCGGCGCCCGGGCCCCCGCGGCTATATAGGGCGGCGGCTCCAATCCCGCCGAGACACGTCAGGCGGCGGCCGCCCCGCCCCGCGCCCCGAGGCCCCGCCCCCGCGCCCCGAGGCCCCGCCCCCGCGCCCCGAGGCCCCGCCCCCGCGCCCCGCGGGGTCCCCCACTCGCCGCGCAGGGCCCGCACCCTGCACCCCGGGCCGGGAGAGCCCCAGGGCGCCGGGCGGGGGGAGGGGGCAGGGAGGGGAAGAGGGAGGGGAAGAGGGAGGGGGCGGGGGCAGGGGGCGCGCACCCCCACCGCACCCCCAGCCTGACAGCCCACCCGTGAGGGACCCCCTCCCCACGCACAGCTCCCCAGGACGCCGGCCCGAAGTTCAGAGCACCTTCCTCCCCCTCCTCCCCTGTGGTTCCCAGCCTTGGGGCCCTCCTCCGTTCCCTGGCGTCCAGGTGACTCCCCTTCAAAAAGGGGCCACCCTTGCACGTCAAGAGTGCATGGTTTCCGCAGCAAGAGAAGAGCAGGGGCGCC